GCAGTAAAGTGTACGTGTTGCTTGTGTTTTATTGGCAGGATTTCAGCTTTTACTGTGTGGCCCGTGTCCGGCTGCGCTGCAATCTGTTTGCTCTGTCATTACGGAGAGGCAGCACATTTGGCCCGACACACCCTTAATCTCATGCACTGACTGATGGTGATGATGGTGGTGGAGTGTTCTCCAGGGATCCGGCTCACAGGCTAGTTTGCTCCCTTGCTCCCCTGGCAAAACAATCCGATTATTTTACAATTTGGATATTTCGCCGCAGGGAACAGGGTCGAACGCTCTTTATCTGAAGGTGAAAACAAAAATGAACGCACTGCAAACGTCGGTTACTGCGCAGTTACCAAGAAAGACGGGAGTGAATGCTCAGCTACGGTGCCAGTTGCTGCCGCCAACTCCACTGTTTCGAATGTAAACACGGTGGGAGCGGCGCCGCTGCAACCTTGTCTTCTGCAAATGATGTATATAAACAACTAATTTGCAACAACAAATACGTTTTGCAGCACACGTAATTGTGTCCTGATTAGATTTTCTGTCAATCAGGAAATCTAATGAGGAAATGTGTATTTGGCAAGTGACAAATATGTTGATACAGAGCACACCAGTACAACGTATTTGTATATAGCAAGTATATATTTTATTTTATTAGAGCTGACGCAATTAGTCAAATTAAAGGTGTTTTTTTTTATTATTTGTATCTTAGTTCCCTGAAATATCCACCTCCTCATCAGCAGTGAACAAACACACGAGTGTTTCATGACTTTGGTTTCAGGTCTGCTCTGATAAACAATGTTAATGAGCTTAGTTTGTAAAACTTGCAGTTTTAATTGTGTCATATGGCTCAAAGTTTTAATCTGCAAACTATTGTATTTGGGGAAAGTAATAATGATGTTAGAGCAGGTGGACCGCAGCAGCCTTTAGGGCATGGCACTCTCCATATGTTGGTGAATTTCACCCGCCGGTGTTGCAGGGCCAGTAGACACACGGGGTTTACTGCTTTGTTGTCTTGAAAGTGGTTTTGTGGTTGCTGGTGTGATGGCCAGGTTTATGCTAAGTGCTACGTTGGCACTAACAGCAGAGTTTTGAAAAAGAAGAGAGCTGAAATACACATTAAATACATTTATATTCCTTCACTTTGTCAGATGCTTTTGCTAAAAGTGAGCCACTGCAGATCAAGGAGGCGCCTTTGAGAATAAGTGCCGCAACACTCAGTTTCAGACTCAAGGCTGCAGGTGCATTAAGTAACACAAAGTACAGAGACAGATAAAGAAGGACGAGAGCAGGAAAGGGTGTGTGAGTACTCTCAGAGGATTGATTTTGAGGACGGAGGAAAGATTCTGTTGACTGAAGTGAGTTTGGTAACTCATTCCGCCATCGAGGGACCACACAGGTTTGCTGCCTCGCTGCGGCTGTTGGACTAGTTGTCATCCGCTGACTGATTGTAGTGAATGACGAGAAGACTCATAAATCCGAGCATGTCATGTGTAAATGAAACAGCACACTTGAGTTGTGTACCTACTTCATTGGCTTTGCCGCATTTTATGACTAAATTTGATCAAATTTCATCCACTAATAGTTTATTTTGTTTTATGGTTTTTATGTTTTCAGCATGCCAGTGTGACCACAGAGCCTACAGTGACACTGCAGGCTTGGATAATGAACACACACACACACACAAACACACACACACACACACACACACACATACACACACACACACACACACACACACATACACACACACACACACACACACACACATACACACACACACACACACACACACACATACACACACACACACACACACACACACACACAGTAAGACTGTGTAGTCCGAGGCAGGCTGCGACGTCTTCAGGGCCCCTGATGCTGACGTACTTTGTGCAACAGTGTGTGTGTGTGTGTGTGTGTGTGTGTGTATGTGTGTGTGTGTGTGTGTGTGTGTATGTGTGTGTGTGTGTGTGTGTGTGTATGTGTGTGTGTGTGTGTGTGTGTGTGTGTGTGCTTTAATTTTCTCCTCTTTTCCCTCCCATGCAACAATGGATTACTTGATTGACAGGTGTGACCGCTGTTTACCACGCACGTAGAACAACATTGTGGTTATTACAATTGCCACATGAATATGTTATGCTGGGATCGCTATGGCAACAGTAACATGCACTGTCTTACCCTGAAATGAGTGGGATGTCATGTTTTATTGCCATTCTGACACCAGTGTTTCCTTCATATAAGGCTCAGTCTGAGACACATGTTGTCTCTGCTGGCTGAAAACACACAGTATATTAATAAATTAGCATTTTTCTAATATTGAAATACTTATTTCTGTATCTCAGAAATATTGAGTTCGTTTCATACATGAGTTTTAAATTAAAAGGCTTTATTTTTGTCTGACTAGAAGAGACAATAACCTTCATGAACCCAAAGTTAAGTAGTGTAGGGATGGCTGTGTGCTACGTCAGCGGCGTCTGTGATGCATGAATGAGCCACATGTTGTGCAGCATGAGAGCAGGGAAATCCACTTAAGTGGGGTAGCCTGATGCACATGATGCTACAGGTGCAACACTGGATGTGAGTCAGCTGATGATCAAACAGTAGCAGGCGGCATGACTGATGCTATGCTAACACTTCTTGTTGAGTAGGAGTTTAAATGAGGTGAAGTGAAAACAGGTAAATGTCAGGTAGGGCAACATAATAAACGTGTTACACCACAGCTATAGTTTTAGTTGCTCAACATTTGGGGAACTTTATACATTTATTTGCTTTCTTGTGGAGAGTTAGAGGAGAAGACAGTGACATATCTCATGCTTAAGTGTGGAAATAGTTCGATTAGCTTAGCATGAATGCTAGAAGGAGCTAGCCTTGGTAAGGGTGACCAGATGTCTCCGTTTCCAAGGACAGTCCCCATTTTTGGTGGCCTGTTCCCGGCTTGAGCTGTCCCTGGAAATGTCCCCGTTTTTAGTGTTTGTAATTAAAAACAGACGTCTAGTATTGTGCTTGTTTTGGCTAACAGAGGGGGCTGGCTGCTAGCTAAAACAGCTTTAGAAGAGAAGCTAAGACGATCAAAATAGACATCCAATCTGATTTTTTTTGTTGTTGTTATCTCTAGGCAGAGAAAGGATACTTACAAAAACAAACATACCCAAAGCCCCCCAGCCGGAACTTGAAAAAATTGTTTTTATGATGCAAGAAGTGAAAAAGAAGAAGTTGCCCGATGAACTCCACGTGACAATAATCACGACCAAACTAAAGGAATATAAATAATTGAGAAATAGATAGACAATAGGACTTCATGACTGCTTGAAAGGTAGGAAGTCGTCATTTAATCACTCAGCCTTCACAATGGTTTATTACAGTGAAACAGTTACTTGGTCAAAATACGTGACTGTCCACCTTTTTTTATATCATAGATAAAAACATTTTAATGATATATTGAACGCCGAACTGGAAATGTCCCCGGTTTTCATTTCAGATATCAGGTCACCTTAGGCTGGGTTTATTTGGCAAGAAATAGGTACAGCACATAAATTGTTCAACAAACGAGTGTGGCAATGATCTTCTCGTGTACCTCTTGGGAAGAAAATGAATAAGCATATTTCACTAAATGTCAAAACTATTCATTTAAAGTGAATTAAAATTAGCAGTAGCCGTGTAAAAGATATACAAAATATGGCTGTGGATTCAGGGTGGTGCCCCTGAGACACAACACAGCACTGCTAGTTTGGATATAGCACACCCAGGGAAGAAAGAAAGATGACTGTAAACAAGAAAGAAATTAACTATAACCAAAGAGAAGGTGACAGCCAGGAGTAAGAGAAAGGATGATACAACCTTAGCGGGGAGTCGGGCCAGGTAAATTCCTTCTGATGACCCTCAGTGTGGATGTTAGGTAGGAGTCCAATTAGCATAATCTATCATCTTTAAAGGGAATCTGGCAATCAGCATTTGATACGGTGTGTGAATTTTCAATGTTATTGAATATGCCTAAGGGAGCAGAAAATCATCTCAAACTGCCCAATATGAATTACATGTACGGTTCAGCTGTTCCACCTGTGCTGCAGGACTGGTGATTTACTTCATTCAGAGTCGCTTTTCATGAAATGTTAATGATTTGAGTTTGGAAATGGCCGATCAAGGATTTTTTTAAAAGTAGAAATTCAAACTCTTTTATTGAATCGGCAGTCAAAAGGAACAGAAGCTGGTTTATTGCAAGTGAAATAGTCTGAAATGAAGTAGAAAAGTGAAATATAGCACAGAGTTGACTGCTGGCACAGCCCGACATCAGCTGCAGTGCATCTTAACACCGTCAGAAACCTGTCACACTTGATCCCGTTGTAGTAAATCTAACATTCCAGTTACAACTACTAGATGTCCCATGATCTGACTGACACAGAGCCTCCCTGATGTAAGAATCGATCTCACAAGATAAAAGTCTGACAAGCAGCAGCTTCTGTTTTCCAGGCCGCAGAAACTCCAACCTCTCAGTTTGATGCTGACTCTTTTGTTTTGCTTCGGTTGCTTGCAGCTTATGGAATTTCACCATCATCTCTGAATATCTGCTTGAGTTTTAACAAAAACAATGAAAAGAGATCATATTACCGCAGTTTTTATCTATCTTTTAGAAGAGATTTTAAAGTCCTTTTTTACTTGTTTTTAAAGATCTAAATGGTTTGGGATTTGGGAATCAGATTCTTTGTCGTTTTATAATCCTTCACACGCTCTCAGATCTTTTACTGTCAGGCAACGACAGCTGAAAACCTATTTATTTAACTTTGTTTTTAATTAATTCTCTCATATTTTACTATTCTCACTGGTTTCTGTTTATATTTACATATTTTATCATCTTCTGTCTTTTTATTGTCTATTTTCATTTGGTTTAATTGTTTTTATTGTAAAGCACTTCGAGCTACATCTCTTGTATGGAAAGTGCTCTATAAATAAAGTTGTTATTATCATTATTGTTATTATTTAACTTCTGTCTTCTCTCTGTCCTACAGATTAACAGACCTGACGGGCTCGCTCACAGACGGACCAGTAAACTATAAATACAAGACCAAATGCACTTGGCTAATAGAAGGATAGTAAGTATCAATGTTTTCGCCCTCTTCCTCTCATCATTAATCTTACTTACGTCCACTTGGTTAAAAACAGGGATTTTTTTGTGTGTGGCTTAAGGGCTGCAGATAAAGAGAGCTTTATTACTGTGCAAATAGAGGGAGTTTGTCTTCCAGTGTGGTTACTGTGCACCAGAGTTGCTTTGCGCACATTAACTGCTCAGAAAACCGTGCCACACCGTCTGAATGCACACAGTGATCGCTCTGTAATGATATGTAAAGTGCTGTATGTGGTTTATTCTGCTGTTGCATGCTTGCACTAAATGTTAGGTATACAATGGCCCTGTAACAGAATGAGAACTGTAAAAAAAAAAATAAAAAAAAATCATTATCTTCTAACACATCTGGAAACAATAAATGGTTTGTTTTGGATTATCCCTTTAATGGCCTCTGTGCGTATCCTCTGGGATGTTAGATTGGCTTTAGGCGAAGGACTGAAGATGTTTCTTATCTCCTTGGGAACCATTAAAGGACAGTTTGGGTTCAGTAACATATTAGAGAAGACGATTAAGAGTATTTTTAGCCGTACTGGCGGCATTTCTCGGTGGCAATAAATGGTCTCACAGGTGAAGTCAAGTTAATTTCATTTACAAAGCCCACAACCACAAATTTGCCCATAGGGCTTTAACAGTTGGATGGACTGCCATGAAATTTCGTGCAGATATCTATGATACCCCCCCCCCCCCCAACTGTGGATTTATACTGTACTTGGTTACCTTGACTTTCTGTTTTGCACAGATGTGTTCACATCTTTCAGAGGAAACAAGTCTTAATGCTGCAACGGAGATTTATAGGTCTTTACTTATAAATCTGAAATAACTGGATTTTCGTTATTAGTGACGACACACACATTAAAGGCATGTTTACAGCTGATTGTGATGACAGCTTTTTAGATGTCTCCTTCACATTGCTGTTCAGTTTTCTATTGATATTTATGGCTTCGAGAATGTGACGTTGGTGACACCCTGACCTTGATTTGGCGCCACCATCAGGACCAAATTACACCTTGACACTTGACACGTCCAAAACTAATGACAAGATTTAATTTGTACACGAGAAATCAAATCAAATCAAAATCAAATGGGCAGATGAAAGCCATGAAATTTACTGAGAATAGTTAATGTGACCAGCATTTCGTCTGGTGAACATTGTGTACATTTAAACTGGTGTTCAGGTTTTGATCATACACACCTTTATATCAACATTTGGAACCTTATTACATTAATTATCATTATAATTTGTCTTTTACTGCCAGAATATCCAGGTTTTCATCAGAGTGCTCCATTTAGCATGTTCAGCTTATTTAAGGGATCTCGAAGCGGGATGTGGTCTTTACATTTTCAAACACATAACCAGGATATTTTGATATAAAACCTGATCTGATATGTGACAGCAGGGTGCATGAAAATGCACCGATTGCAGTGGTGTATTAAGAAAAAGGTCACACTTCACATTGACTTCACTTTGGCAAAAAGGTTTTTTGCATGTGCGACACCCACAAGTGTCTATTTATGACCATAACCACAGACTTCACAAATAGAGGTGACGTTTTTTAAAAAGTAAGGAATCATATAGCGCATACAAGCTATATACATTATATATATTCATTAGTTTTGTTTTGGTCATATCCATCTGTTCATCAGTGTTTTCTCTCCTCTCTCAGTCCTAATGCAGTTCTCCGGCTGCGCTTCAATCACTTTGCCACCGAGTGCAGCTGGGACCACATGTACGTCTATGATGGAGACTCCATCTACGCCCCTTTGATTGCTGTCTTCAGGTAGGCACCTGCTATTCTGAATAGGAGAGCTGTGCGAGTAAGGGATGGGGTGGGTGGGGGGGGTATGTAAATGAGTCAGGTAGCCTTTGGCATGGCTTCAAAAGCTCCTACAAATTTGTTCTTATGCAGTCAAATGAGTCTGTGTACAGGCAAACAATGGGCCGCATAATTACCACAGTACCACAATACAACCATAACATAAAGAAAATATTGCAATTACTCACATCAGCCCTGAATATTAGTACCTCTTTTTGCACAGGACAATTTATAAACATGAACTATTTCATTTGACAGGAATTCACAGAAAACAATAACACCACAATAATCTACCAACCTCCCACTTCCTACTCTGCTCCCTTAAGGCTTATCTCTTGTTGCTCCCAGGATACGAAGAGGCGAATTTGGCCGTGGCATTTGAATATACAGTCTAGACTTGTGTAGCATTATTATCATTAAATAAGCTTACATTATAGATAGGGTACATGCTTGTGTTGAGAAAAAAAACCAGCTGTGAATGTAGCAGGGAGGAGGCTTTGACTCAGATTCATTAAGGACGAGGGCACATTTGCAGTGCATTGCATTTATTAAAAGAGACAGGCTGACCAAATAAGAAAGCGGCAGCCGCCACTGCAAACCTCATCAAACAAATAAAAACGCTCTGCTCTGCAATGTTATTCTACTTTAAAGCTAATCACTGTCATATTTTTTAGTGGGGGTCTGCAGTTTTCTGAAATGAAAGTCTTTTCATCTTACAGCTCTCCAGTGGCACTTTCAGAACATAAAATAAAATAAAGCAGCATTTCAAAATGCTTTTTTTTTATTAATATTACTTTTTTGTTGAGAGGGGCTGTCTGTCTCTCTATCTCTCTGCCTCTTTCTCTTTCTGTCAAACTATTCCTCAGCGGCCTAGTGGTGCCAGAGACCAGGGGTAATGAGACGGTCCCGGAGGTGGTGACAACATCCGGCTACGCTCTGCTTCACTTCTTCAGCGATGCGGCCTACAACCTGACCGGCTTCACCATCACGTACTCGTATGTCCAGATGTCAGCCCTCCTTCACTCTGTTCATTTGTCTGCCTCTCTGTTCCAGTGTCAAGTTTATTTAAATACAGACTTGTAGATACATATCTTCAACAGAGTCTGTGAAAGGGAAACAGAGAATTATCACCAACTTTGCAGCTCAACAGAGCATTTCTTGACTGTTTTAGTCCATGTCAACAATGGCTGTTACACCACCTGCCCAGCACCAACCTGCAGACATCTAGCTGGTGATGAAAGGGGAACATGTAGCAGCTAAAGAGTCAGAGATATTATTCTCAGAAATTGTGTGTGAATATTCCAATTAATACCTATTAACCAGTTGAAAACACAAATCAAAATGATTGACGCTGTTGCTACGTGTCTGCTGGATGTGAAAGTGTGTAACTGGTTGGAAACATTAGCCACAACAAGCCAAGTAGCTTTAACATGGACTTGTGTCTAAATAATTAACTAAATAGTTCCTGCTGTTGTTTTATATTATATATGTATTATGCATTGCAGGTATGACAATAACAATAACAAAAACAACCGTATTTTTTGCTGAGTTTTGACTTCATTTAAATTCTTAGCTGTCACCATGGCAACCGGTACGCCTTCTGCGTAGCGTTTACGCATTTTTGACATCGAAGCGCGCCGTCGAAAAGAAGAAAAAAACGAAGGGGGAGAATTCGACCAATCACAACGCCGCATTAGTTTCCCTCGCGGAAATAAAACTTCGCCGTTGGAGACGATGGACAAACATGTAGATGTCACGTCAGGAGACAGTAGCAAGGACTTACTAGTAAACAGCGACACTTTTGACTTTGATTTTGTATCTGTCGTCGGCTGGTTCCTCAATTGTAAAGGTAAACGGACCGGGACTGTGAATGAAAGTTAACGTTAGCCACCCACTTTACGTATGTTTGCAAGCTAGCTAGCTTACTTGTTCACCAGTCCTGTAGGTTAGCAAAGCAAGTTGTATCGTCTGTAATGGACAGAAAATGTAATAATAAAATAAACATTCATGGTTGGCAGGTCTACACTTCACATAATTAAAGGCACACTTTTCAGTACAGTTAATGATTTTTTCCTAGCTAGCTAGCTAGCTAAATGCTGTAGCTAACGTCCATACAGATTACTGTACTTTCGTGACAATGCCATTGAGAAAAAGTTTGTTTCATTTCCAATGTTAATATATTCTAAAACTGTTGACGTGCGTAACTGAAAATGCCGTAAATGTGAATAAGTCTGTTAGGGAGCTGGGCAGTTAAAATGATATATTTAAATCACGTTGCTTGTAAACTGTGTCAGAACATATTATTAACATTGACAAAAACACAAAAATATATTTTGTCATTTACGAATTGTTTACTATTTATATTAATATGAACTGTTAACTATATTTAATTTGGTGTAGTTCATACTGCTTATACTGTCTCAATTTGTCATAGATTTTTGTAGGGATTTTCCAAATACGTTTAGAGCATCCATCAGTTTTTCTTTAGCCAGCTTCATCTCCAGTTAGCTTGGTCATTCTCATGCCCCAGTTCTACTTTTAATGATGTGATTCATGAGTGGCTTTAAAACTAGTAGCCTCATCAGTAGCCTTGGGCACACTCTTACACGCCTTGGGTTGCTAGTGACCCGATGCACTTTTTAGACAAAAAACATTAAAAAAAAAACATTGATGAAGACAACACCTAGTTTGAGCAATACCAGCTAGCTGAGTGCTTGATTAAATAAAATTGACTGGGTTGAAATATGGTCATGAGTTGCTAAAGACCCAAGGTGTGCATATAAGGCTAGGACAGTCGTGTGGATAGTGGTGCAACAGTTTTTTTTGGTGTTTTTTTCTTTCCAAGCCCTGCTCAGAAGTCACTTATATAGCACAGTGCATCATAATACTGTCTACACCACCTCTTCCACAGACACAATCCACACTGCTTTATAGCCATGTTGGAAAATTGAATATGTGGTAGGTTGAACACATGGGGGGAATGAGGACAGTTAATGTACAGTCACATATCCTCAAGGCTTTTATCACACACACACACACACACACACACATACACACACACACACACACACACTCACACACTGAGGAGAGGTAAGGTTGTCATGACGACCTTCTTGTCACAGCAAACCAGCTTTTTCTATTGACAAAAACATGATTTTCTGCCTCTTGTCCTTGATTACTTTTTTCCATCTGTTTGTCTCTTTGAGCTTCTTTATTTATCTGATATTACAGAGGAAAAGCTTGTGATTTAATTAAGTAATCTACATTAGGCTGTGAGTTCTTTATATATAATGGTCTATCATTGAAAGACTCCTTTTGTTTTTTTCTTTGTTTTTGTTCTTTGTGCTGTCCTAGCACTATCTCTGTCTTTTGAACTGCATTTGCTCTGCTTCATCTCTCTCATGTGCACCAAGGTTCCTTGTTCCAATACATTGCATTCAGTTGGCAGATGCCTTTGTCCAAAAAGCCACTTAGAATTTGTTTTTATATACTCGATCAGAGCAAGAGGTAGAATTCTTCAAAAATTGGAAGTGAATCCCTTTCAGACAAACAACTAAAAACGTGCTCAGTTTTTTTTTAGCACTAGCCTTTTTTTTGTGCTTTTCCCCCCTGAGATTTATTGAAGGTTGTTCTTCAGTGCATGTTACTGATGAATAAGGAATGATCCACAATGGACCATGCAGTTGTTAAAAGAAAAAGAATTACATGTGATGTGGAGGCTGGTTTTCCTTCAGAGGGTGCATTATTTCTCATAACCATACTGCTGTGCTGTGTACTATATATTGAACTGCCAGTAAATCAAACTGACCTGATTGACCACAAAGGCAGGGGAAGGCAACTTTATTTATGTAGCACATTTCAAACACAGGCAATTCAAAGTGCTTTATATAATGAAAGAAAAAGTGTTAGTATGGCATAAAACAGTAATAAGCAACAAAAACCAGAATAAGATTTATTGATTATTGCCTTTATAAAGTTGCTATGGCTAATACGTTAGCTAACGTAACTGTTTACATATCCAGCTGACACACAGCAACATTGCCAATCATTTTGAGTTGTTTTGTGATCATTTCATTTTCATTTTACCTCTGGTTGGATTCTACATACTCCTGAGGAAGAGTGACTTGGGCTTTAGCTACTAAATGTTCCACTGTCTTCACTGGTGACTTGCTAACTTTAACTGGTGGCAGTGTACAGTGGTTTCATCACAGCTCAGTCGGTAAAAACAGCGATCAGCTGCTGCTGCTGGAAATGAGGCCGATGAGAGCACAGGGACACTGAACCAGAGCTGCAGAGAGTTCAGCACAACAACCCCTTTCGTATAACCTGTAGTCATTTGATCCATTGTTAAAATGAAAACATTGATTGGTGGAGCTTTAGATAATTATATCTTTTAATGGCTACCTTGTTGTGACAGTTTATTTTGACCTATCAACCTTGCAATAAATTTTTATCATAAGAAAGAAACCATTTTAATTGCCTCAATTAGTATTAATTTAATGAGGCATCCACAGTATCTGACAGTATGGTGTCATGTACTCTCTGCCTGTGGTGCTGTATAACCTTGACGAACTTCCTTGACTTTCAGTCTAATTGTGTCTCCCTCAGGATAAACTCTTGTCCCAACAACTGCTCGGGCCACGGCAGATGCAGCACGGCGAACTCGGTCTCCGGTCGCGTGTACTGCGAGTGTGAGGACTACTGGAAAGGAGAAGCCTGCGACATCCCGTACTGCAGAGACAACTGTGGCAGCCCCGATCACGGCTACTGTGACCTGACCGGAGAGAAGCTCTGCGTCTGCAATGACAGCTGGCAAGGTAAAGGAGCAGGACGAACAGGACGGGGAAGAGGACTGAATTTTATCAGGGAAATTAAAACAGACATATGGATGAACTGAGGGAGCTTGTAGAGAGACCTTTGGTATCACTGAGGAGGTATGGCTCTTTGGCCTGGAGCTAATGGACTGTGTAGATGATTGAGAGGGCTGGGGGCTAGGGAGGGGTTAAACCAACTCATGCATTATATCATAATGTGTTAATCATTGCAGAATATACTGAGTAGGTGATTGGAATGAATCTCTAGGTTAAAACTCTTTTACATTTGGTTAAAAAATGAAATTCTTTCAGATTAAATTACATAAAATCATTGATTCCACAATATTTAGATTTTGACAATATCTTATACAGTAAAATATAAACATTTAAAAAGACTTTAAAGCAATTGAAACTAAGTCAAAGTCATTGATATATCTTCATATAATCACGGTACAAATGAGGCCAATGCCAGTGTTATTTACTCTCAAAATAGAGACCAATTTTCCCATGATGCTTGTCATGAAGAGGATCTGTTTGATGGTTCTGTTTTGTTCAGAATGAACGAGAAAAGGGAATCAAAAGGGAAACAGACAAAAGGAGGAGACACAAAAGCACAACAGTAGCTGTCTTCCTGTTTATGCCAAACATGATGTTGCTTGGTTCAATATTATTTCGTGTCATAAAACAATAGATGCAATATCCTGGGAAATCTTGCCTTGTGGCGCATAATATATGTGGCTTCATTATTTTTGTGTTTTATGTTTCATTTGTGAACACTTTCCTCCTGCAGCAGCGCACTCAACAACTTTATGATACATAGCTTCATGGTTTCTGACTGAGAATAATTTTACACTGGTGTGTTCTCCTTGTTTTAAAAAGAAAAAAAAATCATATTTCATGATGCAAATGGGTGAAATCTGAAAAGGACTAGACTATAAAGTGCAAAAAATACATGCACTGCTCTGTTGATTTACAAGTTGCACTCAGTAAACATAAATTAAATTTATAATGTAGATAAAACTAAATTCTGCTTTTTCACCAGAGCTGAAAATATTGATTATGATAATCTCATCATCTTGAAATCTGTATCGGTGAGAAACTTTCAAACTGTTTCTTCTGTAGGAATAAAACGTGTTTTCCTCTGCACTGAAGGAGGACACTTATTGAGACAGCTTTCCTATCAGTCCTGGATTATGGTGACATTTTATACAGTACGTGCATGCTTCTGCTGCAGCTCTGAAGCCGTTGCACGCTGTTTATCACCCTGCACTAGGATTTATCACTGCTGATAATTATAACACTCATCACAGAGAGCTGTCTGCTAGGGTTGGGTGGCCCTCTCTGTCCCGTGATAGACACTGGGTTTATTTATCTACAAGGCCATGACAGGTTTCTTACCCCCTTTTACGTTACTTCACTGCTGCCTTTTAATGCGGACCCTTATCGAACACGTTCAGGTGACTGGATTACTTGGCAGGTCCCGGCTGGTTTTTACTGAGCCTGTGAAATCCAGTTTCTCACCTGGAATAACATCAAGAACAATCTAAGACTTACCTCATTTTTACCTTTAGGGCATTTTAAAATTCATTTCACAGCTGTTTTTGTTTTTCTTGATTCATTTGCTTTAAATTTTATTGCTTTATTTACTCTTAAGGTTTTATTGTTTTACTACTTTGACTTTTTATTACTTTTACTTTTTATGTCAGTTTCTTATTTGTGTTTCTTGGCACTTTGGTGGATCCTTTGTTTATTCTTTCACTTGGCCACACTGTAAATGAGGTCTCTCTCTCTCAGTTAAAGCACAGGTCGTATGAATGAATTGAATGAACAGCGAATGACTTGTAGATGTTTCCAATTTCCTCAGCGATTGTCTCATTTGTTCAAGGCAATTACACTGATGTCCCAGTATTAATATGGTAATTCTACATGTACAATCTTAAAATATTATTTAAATTGCATTTTTTTCTAGTTTGTCTGAAGCATCAATCTGAGACTATGTGCCGAATATGCAAATTGATACCAGTACTAAAATGTTTAATTGTTGTCTGCCTTGTGTAATTTGTCAACCGTGTCTTTCCCCTCAAAACAATTCAGATTCAATATTATCTTACATAATAATGATATTTTTAATCTAACCCCACCAGAAATAGCAGTCTGAAGTTGGATGAGGTGGTGAAGCACTGCCCCCTCCTGGATTAACAGTGTAAACACAAGTAGACACAGTAGGAAAGGAGTGAAGCCACTTTCTACCCTTCAAATCTCAATTTAAACGTAACCAACATGCATGTTAATCCTGAGCTGTAAATCATTTTATTTCCTGTATGGTTGTAAAAAATAAACAAGCAACATTATTAATGAAAAACCTGATATATTTAAACAGCTTTGAAGAGAATGTATCATTTAAAATTTTACATTCACCCTGACCAATTGATTATTGGCATGAAATTAAAACGCTGTTGAGTCTTAATTATCTCTCTGAAGACATGCTGATTAATGAAACTGTAAATATCAACACTAAATGCAGTCATCTGAAATTTTGAAGCGTTAAATATAATTTGTTTTACATTAAACCCACACAAAGATGCTTCTATAGTAACTACACTGAATAACAATATCACTTACACACAACAAGTGAATGTACACACATTCAAAACCCGACGTCATTACAACAGTTCATCATGTGATTGTTACGTCACTGCTAAATTTATAGTAAGTGTTGTTACTATTGATTATAGGATGATTGAACCATTTTAACCTTTTTGACCATTATTAGCAAATTTTAGCAATTATTATTCTCTGCCCAACATAAGCTGTTTTCTTTTCACATGTAGCAGTTCTGTTTTCATTCCTGTGTCAAACAATAAACAAATATATATTTTCTTAATGTAAGAATTTAACAAAACCTTCATTTTTCTCAAAGAAATTTTGAGACAATCACTTTATGTTTTATGGAGGTCAAGATGAGAGGGGTGTGGGTGTGGTGATGCTGTGTGTGTGTGTGTGTGTGTGTGTGTGTGTGTGTGTGTGTGTGTGTGTGTGTGTGGGGTAATGAATCAGGAGGGCGCAGCCGCACAGCCTGAGCGCAGCCATCTGAGACACAGACAGCGCGGGGGAATAAAAAAAGTGCTGGTTGCCACAGCAACCACCATTTCACAGCAAAAATATATGTTTTTGTGTTAATGAAAAGAGGACGTCGTGCCGTTTGTCCTCCTCTCCTCTCGTCACTCCGCAGAGATTTGTGTGATGTAAATACAGTTTGCAGCAGCGAGTCGATGCCTTTCAGCTGTTTGTTCTCCTCATGTTTGCTCTCGTCTCTCATTTGTTAAACCTGCTGAATACTGAGCGCTAATCAGACCCACCTGCCCCATTAGAAAAACCTCTGATGGTTGTAGCCTGATCTGAGGAGCGGGGAGAGGAAGACTCACCACACTGATGAAGGATGACAGTGGGTTTATTGCTCTGTTGTTGTCTGACCATCTTCTGAATCTGATCTGTGCTTCTTTTCTGTCTTTATTCCTCCGCGCCGGTGACAGACAGAGCCGGAGGCCATATTGTTTTCTTACCGTCCGTCCGTCCGTCCCGTTCTCGCGGACACGATATCTCAGTAACGTTTGAAGCAACTTCTTCAAATTTTTGCACAAACATTCACTTGGACTCGAGGACGAACCGATTATATTTTGGCGGTGAAAGGTCAAAGATCGAGAACACGGTGACCTCAGAAAACACTCACTTTTTAGCTGTTGCTCAAGACTTCACACGGCAATTATGAAAAAAATTCACATAGATTGTTGATATTTTATATGATTCTGGACAAACGGGGATGAAACCTGAAACTAGTGGAGGCTTAGTGAAGCTTAGTGAAAGTGTTGCTGCAGCTGATTTATCCAAATAAAATCTATACTGTATGTGTGTATTCCCTAAAGCCGTCTGTACACTATATAACATCCTAATAAAGTTCAGAAAGTCAGTTAGTGAAGTTATTTTATTGTAATATTAGATCACATGTTTAAAACATTTCTTATTGTGCTTTTTTTCCACAATCATTTCTTTGCTGAATTATTTGTTTAAGCAAATAAACAACACAGAACAAGAAGGCACATGTAAGTAGACAGATACAGCTTATATCATAATGAATAAACGATGAGTAAGAATAAATAACAATCACTAACAAATCATAATAATAATAATGATAATGGAAAAAGGGTACAACCTGAAGTTTGTTTTTTATGATGCAACTTATGTTTTCTAAAGCAAAGACAAAGATAATTCTCCTCATCCACTGTGGAATAGTTTCTTCCATGAGAAGGAAGAAGTCTCAAAACCATCTGGGTAAATATTCAAAATACACAGTTTAGAGTTAAGAGGTACCTTTTTTTCTTATTGTGGTTTTGATGATCTGATCTTTTTTTTTTGTATTAGCTGGTTTTTAATCATGTTTGAGGCTAATTTAAGATGCTGCTTAAATAAAATGCTTCCACCCCTCTCTCCTCCACCTCAGGTCCAGACTGCTCTCTGTCTGTTCCCTCCACTGAGGCCTTCTGGGTGCTGCCCAGCGTCAAACCGTCGGCGCAGTCTTTGGGTCGGGCGTCCCATCAGGCCCTGGTGCACTCGGGGCTGATGTGGGTGGTGGGAGGCTACTCCTTCAACTACTCCAACTACCACATGGTTCTCAAGTAAGCAATCTGACCTAGCGGGCTTCCGTTCAGTCCTGCGAGACCGAACAAAGGGGCGCAGAACAGCGTTAAAGTCAATTTGTTTTGGCAGCGAAAAACTAACAGACCTCTCAAAACACCTTGACTTGTCCAACACAGGTGTATTTAGAGACCTTTTTTAATTGCTGCATCCTGATGCAGGTATCGCACCTTGACTGACTGTATTGGGAAATCTAAAAGGCACGGAGCTATCATTAATCTTATCAGTGCCATCTGTGCACGGACGGAGAGACGAGAGGCTTAATTTGCGTCAGAGTTGGTTCTCAGAATCATAACTCAAGTCTGACACACACACGTTTTGGACTCAGCGTGACCTGCACCTTCATCCATCGTGGACAAATATCCCTAAATGTTCTTATAACTTCATAACCTGCCTGAGAATCGTCATGTTTCTAAGTTGTACTTCATTATCAAAGCACTCCAGTGGTAATTGTCTGTGCACGCATGGCTACGCTGCATGCATGATTTGCTAATAGGTGAATCAGAAGACTTTTAATGGTGCCAGTGGGGCTAAACGTATGCTAATCCAGGTTCTTTGGCCCCATAGGGACAGACTTTGAAAACTCTGCCTCATATCTCTGTAGTGCTTTAATGTAGCACCACTCACAGGGTCTGAACTTCGGTGTCAGTGAGAAAAAGTGGACTACAAATGTATTTTATAACTTTCGGACTATCGGTGTTGAAGTCTTTTCCTTTTGATTTTTATTTATATATATTTTTTTGTTCTTTTTCTTCCTGCAGCTACAACCTGGAGACCAGCACGTGGGACGCGGTGCCTGTCAGCAGCGGCCCTCTCTACAGATACGGACACTCGCTGGCTCTGTACCAGGTAACTGAGCTGCTGCTGCTGCTGCTGCACGAACACGACAGAGACAAGATGTTCCTTATGCAGGAAAATATGAAAATACAGTACGGTGTGAATGCCGCTTCTGTGTCAGGTAACAAGTAATATTAATACATTACAGTCAAGTTTTAAATTAACAACTTACAACACAGACGCACACACAGACAAATCTAAACATAGTATGCACAGTTAAAGCTGCAGATTTCTGTATTTAGCAGGAAGTTGCGTATTTGATCTGTGGTCTTCCTCATTACCTGTGGATCAAACACCTGCACCAGAGAACAAAAACACTGTCTGTACAACACCTGTAAACACTTCAACCAATGAACCCTCGTCTACAGCTCTCGGCTCTTTCATGTGCTTAAGTTGTACCATTCGAGTTGATGCAACATTCTCAAGTTGTCTGACACAACACACACACACACACACACGCACACACACACACACACACACACAGTTAAACAGATTTGCTCTTCTTCATCGGTCCAGCGGTAAGGAAATCAGTCGTCCTGCCAAGTTTCCATCAGCTACATATAAACATTCTTGTAGCTTCTCTTTGCCAGACACACACACACACACACACACACACACACACACACACACCGTAGAGTTGTTGCATCAGGAGTCAGCTCGGTGTATGAACTCCTTTAAATTCCGACAGATTTACTTTACTAAGAATAAAATAATGTTGTAGCTCATTAATAGCGAAGAATAAAAGATAATTTTAACCTCAGAATTGTTTCTGTCATGTAATTATAGAGCAGAACACGATGTCACAGATTAACCAAGATTAACTTTGTGTTAAATTATATTATATAGTACAATGTGCTCAGTTTTAACCACCAGTTTACGACCTGAAAGATGAAGCAGTTTGGATTTCACTCCGTCTATAAACTAGTGGATTAAACTGCTCATCAGCTGAGTTTCACTATTTTATTTTTGTTGATTATTGATTTATCTTTTGATTAAATTATGAAAAAAAACACCAAACTGTGTTTCAAGTTGTTGTAAATAGAATATGTTTTATTTTATTTATTTATTTAATTTATTTTAAGACGGATGTGATGACGGTCTCTGTCATTATTTTTGACATTTTATAGCCTGATAATTACTTTACAATATAATCCACAAATGGCTCATTCGCCGGGTTTTGAAGCATTTTTTTTACGCTGGAGTAATTTCACCAGACTTTAAAGAACATTTGACACTTTCTGAAAAACAGCCCCATTAGTCACCTTCCCTGTGAAGAAATGAGAACATCAGGATCATCCGTGCGTCCCCCTGTAGATCACTCACTTCACAGTCTGGAGCTTCAAATGATGCGTCACTGTCTAAATACTGGGACACGTGGTGATTGTGTGTGGAGGGGAGTCATTTAATGGCGGAGGACGGGAAGTAGAACGAAGACAAATCTCCGTTCCGATGTGATGAAGGTGAGATTTGATGCGCAGGAGGTCGGCGGCGACCGAAGCTGGAGGAAGATTTGTCAGGCAGCAGTAACTTCTCACACCGAAGGGTGGATGAATCCGGTTACTCCACTTCATCATCAGCGAAGTTTGTCGCCTTCTCGCGAAACATCTTAGATCACAGCACAAAGCTGGTATTCATGCTTTACTTCATATCGCGACTCTTCACCTCTCACCCTTCAGTTTGACACCGACTCCATCACATTGTAGCTGCTGCGCTGCTGTTACTGGTGTTTTTAATTAGTTGATTGTTGCGTGACGCTGATGCTGCAGAGCTGCAGTGATGTGGAATAAAGTTTGTATTAGAGCATGTTAGTTTATCATTAAAGAGTTAAAGCTGCTGTTTTCATATTTACAATGAATGTGTGTCTGAGTTTGAGAGGTTAAGAGGTGCTGGTAGCTGGATTTTTATCACCATTGGACAGCTAAGCTAAGCTAACAGGCTGCTAACTGTGAGTAGTATTGGATCTTTTTTTATCTTGCATATACATGTGTATCTCACAATATCAAACAATTCCTTTTAACAGGGAGACCAGCAACCACATCAGTGAACCTGTAAGAGGATCAACTTTACAAAGCTGTGTTCACTAGGTTGTTACACTGCCACCGTGTGGTCACAAACTCCAATAACAGGTGTAAAAACAGATTTAAAGATCCTGCACCCAAAACACTCAGATGTCCAGTAAAAATCCCTAAAACACAGTACAAGTATTTATTCACGTGTGTTTAGAGACACTGCTGCAGCTAAACTTCAGAGGTTTGAAAAATGACCAGCTCAGCACCTCTATCTTCTTCCCCACGTAGGACGACATCTACATGTTTGGCGGGAAGCTGGAGGCAGGATCGGCTAACGTGACGGACGAGATGTGGGTGTTCAACATCCCCAGGCGCACCTGGTCACCGCGGAAACCCTCCCCGCCTCCTCCCTACGCCCTGGAGGGACACACGGCCCACGCGGTGGAGCTGGCCGACGGCGAGCCGGTGATGCTGATCTTCTTCGGCTACTCGCCGATCTACAGCTACGTCAACAAAGTTCAGGAGTACAACATCAGTGAGTGCGCCTGCTGACTCAGCTCTCAGACAATTTACTGTGTCTTTAATTGTTTAATTGTTTTCTTTTACTGAGGGAAGCGAAACACCTGCACTCTTCAAGTTGTTGACATTTTCCAGAGGCTATGTTCACACAGGTGGAAGAAACCATTACTGATTAATTCAATATAACAACATGAAGCACAACAACACTCTCCTGCTGTAAAGCACCGAAGCTCATCTACCTTTGTTATTTCATGTTATTACTTTGTCATATTTGCGTTGGTCCTTGGCAGCAAACTAGCGTTTAAAAACCTCAGATTTTTTTTTTTTTGGGGGGGGGGGGGCTTCCCAGCTGCACATGAACGCACACTACATTAACTCTCATACATCTGAATACTGAACACAACAGGAAGCAACACTCACTGCTGAAGGAAATCATTACTCATGTTTCGCACAATGTTATATTCTCATTAGGAAACAGCTGCACTAGACGGAAACACAGTGACAAACTTGACTCCTTCATTCTGACCAGACTGGACGTAATAATTAGTGAACTGATTCAGTTACAATCACAGACAACTTTTTATCATCCCGCAACGTTTTTCCACGCCGTCCACCGCCTGAAGGCGGGAGACAGACGCATCTAATTAACCAGCTCAGAAAACTGACAACCAGGCTTTTTTCTCACGACTCCCGAGGTTTTTTAGCTCCAGTTCCTTCTTTCTTCTTAAAGTTACCACACAGGTGAATCTCAGAATTACGCCCCCAAAACAATTCTCTCCAGAAGCTCCACATTAAAGGAAGTAAAAAAAAAAAAAAATGTCTGCGAGTCATACTTTGTGTAGCTTCAAAGTTTAAAAGGCGGCAGAGGAGTCTGTTCGGTAACCTAAAGTCAACTTTTCTGATTTGGTGCTGCAGTTTTTCTGGTGGAGGAAGTGAAGTCCTGCTGTGAGGCAAATCTTTAATTGGCAACTGATTCTGTGTGTGTGGAACATCTCGTCATCAGAAATTTGTGCATGGTTTTCTAATGCTGCCTTTTTTAACGTTCACCTTTTTTAAGCATCGCAAGCGTTATTGTTGCTCTGTGTTCACATTTCTGCTGCTGCCTTTAATTGACTCGCACTTAAGTTTATTATTACGTTAGTGAACTTTTTTTGAAGACCGTGTCCAAGCACCCCCCCACCCCAACCCCCCCCAGAGGAATGAGCAACTTTCAGCTTTAATGTGGATCAGTGACGATTAATTCTACAAATCTATCAATCGTTTTCTCTTTAGTATGACACCACTTATTTGGACACCCTGTAATGTGGCTGACGGGTGTAGCATTTGCAAGTCCTCATACTTTTGGACATTTAGATCGCTTTTATTTATTTATTTATTTAATTTATTTTATAGATAGTTTTTTATTGAGTTTAAACTAACAGAACAACATAAAAAAAAAAAATTTACATGAAAATTTACATCAAATGAGGTTAAACCAGTTGCTTTTATATGATATGTTTGTTTCCCTCTTTGGCCAGCAGATGGCGGTGTCGTACAGCTTTTACAAACCAGCAGCTGTAACTCGAGGTGGAGAAAACACACACACATCCATGCTCGTGTCCATTAGACAGGACGCACTGAAAGGCAAACCTGTGTGCAGTTATACACACACACACACACACACACACACACACACACAGAAAGTGGTCATTAAGAAGAGGTGGCACCCGGGCCGGACTGTCTGAGAGAAGACAATGATTAATGAATCCACTGCATTTCCTCACTGTCCTGCCTCTCTGCCTTTCTGTTTTTCCTCCTTTTCTCCCTCTTTCTCATCCCTCTTTCTTTCTTTTCTTCTACCCCCCCCCACCCCCCTCCCTCCCCTCCCCTGCTCACATCCACTTCTTTATCTCCCTCTGTCTTTTTCCTTTCATCGGCTGCCTTCACTTTCTGACCCCCCTCTGTCATCACTCCTCCTCGGTCCCCGTCATCTCCCGCTCCTCTCCCCTCACCTTTTCTTTTTTTTTTTCCTTCCCTCCCTCACCCCTCATCTGTCTATCACTTTCATCTTCACCCGCCTCTCCCATCTCCCCTCCTCCCCTCCTCGTCCTCTGGCAGTGTCACAAGTGTAAGTCAGCACCGAGCATCATTAGGCTTCAGAGGGAGCGTCTGAGAGAAAGTGTAACCAGGAAATGAACAGAGGGGAGTGGAAGCGGTGTGTAAAATATGAGATAAAAGTTTTTAATGACCACTTGGAGAGGCAGGTTTGCAGCAATTAGCTGCCAGAGATGAGATAAGAGTTGACCTTCTACTTTCTTGTTGCCTCCTCATAGCAGCCCCTCTTCCTATCACTGTTTCTCTTGTTCTTTTCTGTTCTTTATTTTCTTTCTTCCGGGCCTGTGTTCTCCGGTCTGCTGCTGACTCCCCCCCCTCCTCTTTATCTCTGTAACTTCTCAATTGGGTGTTTTTCTCTGAAGCTTTATTGGCTTGTTTTTAATCACAACACCAGTAGAGTCTGAGCGGTGTCAGATTTCTGAGGCTGATTTTTTGATATTTAGAAAATACAGTAAACAATAAAGCAGCTGATGTTTGTCACCTGCTGATTATTACTAGTAATGTCAGAGCTCCCCGGCAGACAAACTGTGGAACAGCAGCACTGTTTACGAACAAGCTCAAACTTATCTCACCATTTCCTACAGTGCAATTTTGTGTTGATTACAGGCTGATTATATATCTGGAATAGGGGCAACACACACAGACATGTTGGTTCGTTGGCTGCGCAGAAACAATGTGAAGTAAATAATAAAAGCGGTGATGCTTCATGCAGTTCATTGAATCACACCAGGTGGGGATAACAAACGCAGGTAAAGTGAAAATTGGCAAATCTAAGGATGATGTCATTCGTCCTTTCATTCAGTAAACAGTTTGTGATGTCTTTGTCTGTATTTTACTCTTTCTTCCCCTGTTGTCGATTTTGTTCTTCTCTACACTTTTCCTTCGTTCGTTCCTTCCTTCCGTTTGTCTCGCCCTCGCCCAGGAGGTCATGTTTGTGGTTCAGTAGTCTTTGACTCTCTCTCTCCCTTGGTTCTTTGCCAACCGTTTTCACCAAACTTTATTGGAAAAGTTTAGTGTTCTTGGTGCCAGTAGATCCATTATTTGACCATTTATAACAGCCTTACGCTATATATATATATATTTATATGTATGTATAATCTGGCCTCCTTAACTCGAGACACCGTTGGCCACACACAGTTTGTAGTAAAGTGTGGAGCTTTCTCGTTCTTCGTTGTGTCTTTGCTTCCTCCAGTTTCCCTCCCTCTGCTCTCAGCACTACTCGTGGTCTCGGGGGTTTACAGTTCCAGATGATGGCACGTTTTCTCAGGCTTTTGAAGCCTGAGAAAACCCCCTCTCCTGCTCAGGCTTTGTTTGTTGTGTTGTGTTTCTTCTGGGGGGGAGGGGGGCTGCTCGGATGATGTAATCCCTGCTTGTTTTTAATAAGATTTTCTATGCACCTGAATTAATCTGTATGCATCGCGCTGGTCTAATAAAAGGGCGCTTTTAAATTCAATAAACTCTAATTTCCTCTGGCCTCGCACACCGTTTGGCTCGCTCTCTCTCTCTCCGTCTCCCCTCTTCTCTCTTCCCTCGCTCCATCTCACCTGCAGAATTAAAAGTGCTTCGCTTTTTTGGCATCAAAGTGAAAAGCCAAACTTGCCAAAGCATCAAAAACTTTTTAAGTGATCAAGTTTTATCTTTCTGCATGAGCGTGCCGCATTAATCAGACCCGTCTCTCCTCCCTCTCCTCTTGTCACAGGGTCCGACTCGTGGCAGGTAGTGTCCGCCGGAGGCGCGGTGGTCCAGGGAGGCTACGGCCACAGCAGCGTGCACGACGAGGCCAGCGGCTGCGTGTTCGTTCACGGGGGATACAAGGCGCTCAGCAACAACAAGTACGGTCTGGTGGACCACATGTACCGCTACCACATCCACACGAGGACATGGTGAGAGCGCAGACTAATGTCACCCTATGAAAATGTATCTGTAATACATATCGATGCCCTGCAGGAACACTGCAACCTGCCAGGATGGAAAAAGAAAAAAGAAAAAAGCATTCGCATCCATAGTGACCGCTCGGTATCAGCTGCCAGCTTCATTTTAATCCGTTCTGTAAACCATTTGTCTTGTCCAGGGCCGCAGGGAGCTGGAGCCAATCCCATGATGCTCTAGGTCATAGGCAGGGCGCACCGTGGTCACATGGCTGACACGCGTTTAGTCACACAAACACATTCACAACTTTTTAATTCATTGTGTAGAACTGTGATTATTTACCTTTTTCTCAGTTTCCAACGTTTTTTAATATTTAATATAAATCCAACGTAAATCTTTCTGCTTTTACTCTTCCTCTTCTGTTTAACTCTACTGTGTTAAGAGGAACTTTTTCTTCACGTAAGTTTATTCACTTTAAATTAGTGATGATGATGATTTAACTTTTAACTTTAACAAAACAGATGCTCCAAACCTCAGAAATACCAAAATGTGATACCGTGAGTGTTCATTTTTAGTAAGTATATATATGTAAGAGTCAGAAAGAGGAGAGGAGGGTGAGAATAGAAGGATCTGACAGGAGGTTTGACCTCTGATGACCCCGGGCAGATGGATGGGTGAAAGAGGATGCTCTGCTCCATCAGTCTGTCCTTTTCACTTCAGCGTACGTGCACACGCTCGCATCATATCCACGAAGCGCACACGCTCAACCCGCCGTGTCTGCGTGGCTCTCGCTCTCCAGCTGGAATTCGTCGCCGGGAGTCGGGTGTCGCTCGGCTTTTGAGATTCCCAGACGGAAACTTTTCTGGGAATTCCAGTTATTCTGTCCGAGCTCCCGACCGGCGTGACGATCGTCTCCGCTCCGTCAGCATTAACTACTCCTCATATTCTGATGGCTTGACGGGTTCAGATTCAGAGCAGATACTGTGGATTACAATCCAATAATCCATATATCAAGTATATTCCAGATCCTTTACAGCCAGCTACAGCCTCCACAGCCTCACTGGAACTAAGGTATCAAGAGATTTATCGAGGAGCTGATGATGTCATGTTCAGTTTCTGAAGGTTAAAGGTTCCGGGTTTTTACAGACAGCGATGGTGATCGGTGAAAGTGTTGTTTTACTTTTCTCTCAGCGTCGGAGGCTCAGCTTGTTCCTTTAACAACTGTCTCTGCAGTTAATGAAGAGGCCACAGATAGCCACCACAGTTGCTCTCCACTATGTGACCTTTGACCTCAGGGTGGTCACACGCAGCAGACTGAGACCTCCTACGACGTCTATGTTGTGTGTGTGTGTGTGTGTGTGTGTGTGTGTGTGTTGCTCCCATGAAAGAACAGTTGGTATGAAGGGCAGTCACCACGGGCCAGGTCACACACTCTGACAGACTCCATCAATAACATGGCACCATGGAAATAATGCCACACACACACACACACACACACACACACACACACACATACACACACACACACACACACACACAGCTGAGAAATTCAACCTTTCCTAATATCTGTCATGCTGCAGAGTTGCACGCTCTTCTCTGTGCCTTTGTCACTTCTGATGTGTGTGTGTGTGTGTGTGTGCGTGTGCGTGTGCAGGTTAATCCTCAGGGAGAGTGGCTTGGCGCGGTACCTCCACTCTGCGGTGCTGCTGAGCGGTACCATTCTGGTTTTTGGTGGAAACACTCACAATGACACGTCGCTAAGCAACGGAGCCAAGTGCTTTTCTGCCGACTTCCTGGCGTATGACATAGGTAAGAACAAGTAACAAGTAATCTCACACACACACACACACACACTGAGGCTGCAGATTAAGAAATAATACAGTCCTGAAACTGTCCTCACTGACTCATCTTATGGGAGCTGATAAACTGATCCTAACACCCTCAGTGTCGATGACATCTCAGTCAAACGTCTATAAGAACAAAGTATTCAGAGCTTTCCGAGGAAAAGGCAGCGGAGTGACGGCCTCTACTTCCTTACAGATGAACCATGCTGTGTTTAACACGTGATCAGGTCCTGGTTTTTATATATATTTTACATTACTACATAAAGTATTTAGTTGTGATAATAGAGGAACACACACCCTGCTAAACCAAGACAGTCAGAGCCGGAGGCCATATTGTTTTCTGGTTGTCCCGTCTCTCCTGTTCTCGTGGACACGATATCTCGGTAACGCCTCGACGGGACTTTTTCAAATTTGACTCAAACTTTCACTAGGACTCAAGGATGAACTGATTAGATTTTGATGATCAAAGGTCAAAGGTCACGGACATGGTGACCCCAAAAAAAGGCGGTTTTGGCCTCACTCGTTAAATGGAATTTCTTTAAATTTGGTAAAGTTGTTCACCTGCACTCAAGGACGAACTGATTAGATTTTGGTGGTCAAAGGTCAAAGGTCATGGTCACAGAGACCTCAGGAAGCACTTATTAGCCACTATTCAAGACTTCACACAACAATTATGACCAAATTTCATGAGTGGAGCAGGGAAACGACCACGAGGAGGTGATTCTGGTTTGTTTCTCTCCTTACACACAGAGACACACATGAAAACAAATGTTGTGATTTTACTGATTTCCTGCTGTGACTCAGCATTGTGCAGCAGCAGCATTTGATTGGTGCATACTGTCGAGAGATAAAGAGAATAAGAGAAACTTACAGTAGAAAAAAAAAAGAAACCCAGAGCGTGTTAGCATGTGGAGACGTTAGTATAGGTAGAGTACGGATGATTAAAGATCCCATTACAGGCTACCCAGTTGCGCCGTAGACCAGATGGCGCGAGGCTGTTTCCACCCCACGACAGGGACGGGAAAATGAAGGGATGACGGGAGCGCTGGGGGGAGAGGAAAAGAGGGATTACAACAACTCTTCGCAGGAGAGAAACAACGGGGAGCGGAGAAATTAACAGAAAGAAAGACAGATGGATGTATAGGCATGTAGAAAAGGCGCTGTATGGTGCAGGGGGGGGGGGTGGCTCAGCGGGTGAAGCTGCCGCCATGTCCTTATAACATTGTGGTGAAGTCGGACGGTTAATTGTATTTTATGTTAAGATGGTGACGGTCAGAGAGGAAGTCTTTCATGCTGAAATGGTTAGTAGATCAATCCCTTTCTCCTCTTACACAGAGTTAATCTTCAAGAAACGTTGATAAGTGATTAATTAATCATTTATTACGCAAAAATATTCCACGTGTTCCTTGTTTTCTGGTTCTTCGGATTGTGAATATGAGCTGCTTCTCTCCGCTTTGTAGAATTATCTTTGGGTCCTTTTTCATTTCCTCCAGAGTTTGTCTGGGTCCCTTCTGTGTCTGCCACCGGTCTCTGGGGTGGTTTTTCAATATGTCACCGACACCCAAGGAGATCCAGGCGGAATCTATCGGCCCACGATCACGTGGCGCGTCACAATAATCGCCGGAGAAAAAATGTGTTTTTGAGGCGAAGGAGAAGGAGAGAGCGGCGTGTGAAATGCAGAGGAAATGACACGTATTACTGCTGGTTTTCGTACAGATTTCTAGTTATCGCTGCCGTTTCCGCTGGTCTTTCTTTTTAGGTTGAGAGCCCTCTGGGTTCGGTGTAATTATCCTTTAAGTTTGGCGCAGTCAGCGCAGGTTTCCAGCCTTATGATGTCATCACCTCAGGTTCTTGTGATGGCCTTAGTCACAGCTGCAGCATCTTTCAACCAAAGTGATACTGCACGAAGAACTGGGCTCAGGTGTCATCCAGGTCATTTTCAATTCATGCCACATTCACCCATTCACACACACACACACACATACACACACACACACACACGCACACACACATATCACACACACCATACACTGATGAACACACTCATTAAGGGCCAATTTCTGGTTCAGTATCTTTGTCCAGAGACACTTAAACAAGCGGTGTGGAGGAGCCGGGGGTGGAAGTTCTCCATCGTCGTGGTCGCGTAGCTGGTTAAATGAATGAACTCAGTCTGCTGAAGAAAACCTTGAGACGTGGTTAAAAGCTGCAGGAAAAGCCGAACCTTGAGTTATACGTTTTTGTTTGAAAAAAAGAAGTATTTTTTGTATTTCTGGCGTTATTCCCCCTTCCCACCTTTTCTTTTTCTTCTTCGTCTTCTTCTTTCATCTTTCGTGTCACTCTCTGCTGTAAATTACGTAATAAAGGGTAAAAAAATACCGGGGAGGATATTGGTGAGATAAAGCAGTGGATGCGAGGAAGCAGATGAAATAAGAGAGACGAGCACTGAGGAAAGGAGAGAGGGATATTCACAGAGCGGGAGAGAAATAAAGAGTAAATGAAGGAGGGATTTAGGGAGAGAAAAGGAAGCACCGAGGACGGAGGAAGAGAATTACCTAAAGACAATAAAGGTATGCCAGGATAACACAGATAATAAGCTTGTGAATAAAAGGCAAATTCAAAGGTAATAAACAATAAAGCATTTGTTTTCAGAGCGTCCCAGTCTTAATGAAGTTGGAAACAGCCTAGTGTTGCTTTATTTATTTATTTATTTATTTATTTATTTATTTATTTTTACATTTTGTTTTTTTTTTCTTAGCCCATCAACACTGGCAATAAATGTGTGTATTTACATGTCCCTCAACTCCGTGCAAGCACACCCCTGTCTTTATAAATATCATCATTTATTCATTACCGCTCGCATCTGCAGATCTGCAAAACTTTATCGTTCCACCAGCTCTCTCACTTACTGCAGAGATGGGGGGGGGGGGGGGTAGTGATGGCTGAGAAAAACAAAGGGAGGAAACTAGATGTGGGGGGGGTGGGACGCTACAGCGAGAGATGCTGTGCAGTCTGACCTGGAAGCTGAAAATGAAAGCTGGAAAACGATTTCTGGCGCTCGTGTATTAAAAAATGAACCTTTTGACCTTTTGGAAGCAAGTTTTTATATATTCGGCTGATCTGTAACTTGCACCAACAAGTGCACGCTACAGTTTTGCCCTTATTTATTTTGGTGCAGAGTCAGGTTAGCTGATTCCCACTGCCTCCAGTCTTGGTGCTACTTCTTGTCTTCTATTACAGCCGTGAGATTCTTTTGACATGAGAATAAAAAGTGAGCGACGAGCCTCCGGTGATCACGGGGTTAAACACCTCCGTCTCCGTGGCGGCAGCGTCTGCGACTCAGGGCCGCGACCTGTTGGCACGTCAGGTGTCGCGGAGGACGCCGTCACAGTCACGGCTCTATAACCAGGCCGGCGTGCGGCGTGTGTCGGCGCCACTGAACGGTCTCCTCTAACCCAGAGAGGGATTATGTGGAATTAGACTCATCTGCTGTGCCTGTGCAGTGACTGTTGAACACACCGAGGGTTATGATGATCTTAAGAAAGGGTTTTAAACCTGAGCCCCCCCCCCCCCATGAGAAATGTCTCCCAGCTTTTCCTTTTTCCTGTTTTTCTCTCTTTCATTTTGCTGCTTCTCCTCCACGGCTGCAGCTGCACAACTTTCACCTTTTTCACCTTGTTTTCTTGCATCTTTTATTTTCACAATTTGTCTTTTTATCCCCGAACAACAACAAAAAAGTCAATTCAAGAAAGTGATTATCTGAGTCTTTCTTCTATAACTAGTTTTTTCCCTGCACAATTTTCATTAGTAGAGAACATTGCTTTTCATTTTCATTTACTTGTAGATATTAAATTTATGTTTCATGATCGCGCGGCTGTCGCACTGACATCTCCAACAGGAAACTAGATGCTTTAACTTGTTAAAGCACTTAAAGAAAAAACAACAACAACAACAACAACGGTGCAGAAATGTTCTCTGTTTTGTTTGCGATGAGAAAAGATTGAACTAGTTTCAAGCTGGGACAGGGTTTCATAGACTTCACCCAGTTGGCCTAATGTGACACATACAAATGTGCTCGTGCTTTAGCGTTCAGATTTTTTGTTTAATTTTCAACTAGCTGGAAATTTTATGACTAATTTGCATATGTAACTTTATAACTGTTCCTGGTAAAGACTTTGTAACTCGGTACTAATGAAAGAACAAATTTGTTGGTCGGACGTTCCCGCATAAGCAGCTATTAATCTCCAGACTGCAGAAATTCAAATGTTCTCGATTCTTAAACGGAAATTGTCTTAAGTAGAAAGAATTTGAGCTTTTCAACCAGCAGCAGCAGCTGTAGACTTTATATCCAGACTTTACAGTGTTTGGAGATGTTCTCTCCTCCCCCCTCCCCCCCTCTGCCCTCTCTCGTCTCTCCAGGACATAATTAATTAGTTCCACCTGTGGAAGTCACTTCTCTCCACCCCCCCTTTTTTATTTTGTGTCTTCATTTTCCATCCTCCGTTCCTCCCTGCCTCCTCACTCGCTGCGAGCAGAAGGGTTTCGAGTGCTAATTTGTTTTTGTTTTGCTGCGCTAACCTTGGAGGAGAGACGCGGCGTTATTAGCTTCTCCTGCTCTTCTGCTGCCACACATTAGATTCAGGTCGACACGGAAGGCACTTTTCATTTGGATTTAATCCCCCCCCACCCA